CAACAACAACACCAGCTACAACAACAACAACAACACCTGCAGCAGCAACAACAACGGCAAGACCAGCAACAACAACAACACCAACAACAACGACAAGACCAGCAACAACAACAACAACAGCAGCAGCAACATCAACAACAACACCAGCTTCAACAACAACAACAACAACAACAACACCAGCAACAACAATAACAGCAGCAGCAGCAACAACAACAACCACCACAACAACAACACCAGCAACAACACTGGTAACTACACCAAAAAACAGTCCCACAAACCGAATTCCCAACCTCAGCGCTTCATTTGGTCTACTGTTGCTGCCAGTGTCTGTGTACCTGTGGTGGCAATGATCAATTGGTGGTCTCTGGTGGTCTGGAAAAATGATGAGAAACCATCTGAAATCAAGAGCCACTACATTCATGAAAAAAATCATTTAGCTTGTTCATTTAACTTCTGTATATATGATAAGAACATTGTCTTTTCTTCCTTTTCTTTTTAATTATACTTTCACATAAACAATAAAATAACTGTGAGAAAAAAATTAATGAGTATTTGAAATACATAAATAACATTATTAATTTTATAAGGACATAAAATAACTAATTTCAATAAATAAACATGGCTGTATATAAACTATTTTCACTTACGCATATTCTTATTCAGATTTTTACTCTGAATGATGCTAGTTTCATTCTCAAATGTTCAGCTGACTGGAGTTAAAAACACATTCTAATGACTCAAGTAACATGAATCTATTTGCCTCACAAATTTATCAAAACTCTAAGCTTTCACACCCAGGCATTTTCATGAAAGATGAATTGTCTACATATAGTTCAACTTCCTTGTGGTGAAGGTCAGCACTGTCACAGTATAGATTGCATGGCAAAGATAGAATTACACGACATGTTTAAAAAGAAAAACTTTTTTTTTGTGCTGTAGCTATACTCACTCCAAAACTGACAGATTTACAGCAGAATTGTAAAGTTTTATAAAAAGCATTTCTAAGGAACTTATTAATAAAATTAGTGTCTTGTATTGTGTTCCTTGTGTTTGTTTGCAGAGTGGTTATTTTCAAAATAACCTAAAATAACTTATAGAGAACGTTCCCTAATGGTTATTCTTAGGTTATTTTTATAACCCTGTAAACCTATCTTTCCAATGAAAACGTCGCAGATGTTAATGTGTAAGGACGTATACAGGGCCCTGAAATTCGTTTAATGCAGCTTTTATTAAAATACAGGAATTAGATCAATCAAAACGTGATTTAAATTATAATATTAAGCCAGGGTTAAGCGTAGAGTGATAACATAAATCATAAATTCGTGTATTTGTTTAATCTTCATTTACTGCGCGCCTCTGATCTGCACGTGCTTCTCCAGCCGCGCGCTCGCAGAATTTTAAAAAGGGGTCATATGATGCTTTTTAAAAGATCATTATTTGGTGTATTTGGTGTAACAGAATATGTTGACATGCTTTGATGTTCAAAAAACACATTATTTTTCAAATACTGTCAATTATTGTAGGTCCTCTATGCCCGCCTCTCTCAAACGCTTCGTTTTCTACAAAGTCCCTCCTTCCGACAAGCGCAGTCTGCTCTGATTGGCCAGCTGACCCAGTGCATTGTGATTGGCCGAACACCGCAAGCACTCGTCGGAAATGTAACGCCCCTTACCATAATCGCGAGCTTCATCTTTCAAAATAAATGTAAAGACAGAGCCCGAAAGGGGAACAGAGCCGCGTGACAGACACAGTGATGAAGCTGGTATGTGTTTGCAGTACACAAGCCACGGTTAAGACAGCTGACTCCACTGTGATGTGATTGTTAATTCCTTTTAAACATTTATGTATTGACAAAAGTACAAAGAAAAGATTTCCAATTTTTTCACTTACCAGCTTAAATGTATTTTGTAAATATAAACAAATTTTGATGTTTGACCTACAATTTTCAAAATTCTGAGGTCACTTATTTGAAGTTATCCTAATAGGAGTAAAAGCACAGTTTTTAAGCATGTTTCGGTTAAATATATTCTATAATATTTTGTATTCTTAAACAAAATTAGAGAACACTTTCAAATACCTCCCAGTTAGTGTTGTTAATCTGTCACCTGGTGCTAATTTCGCTAATTATCTGATAAACCGTATTTAACTGGCATAACTTGTGACTGAACACTCCGACAGCAGGTTGTCCAGATGAAGGCCAACAGCAGCCATAGCAAGAGAAGTCGGTCATTCCAAATCTGTGATTTCTAGAATATTGCTTCTTTACAATGTCACTAACTCATTCAAGACCCCCAAAAAGACTGGTTGTCCACAAAAGACAAATGCACGAAAGAACAGGATAATGCAGAGAATCTCAATGGGTAAGCGGTTCAACACTACAGTTGGAATTGCTCGCCAGTTCAGCGATGAACAGGACATACAGTGTCTTGAAGTTTAAGAGAATTTGGACTGAAAGTCCATTCTGCAATGACCAAACCTTCCATCAGCAGAAAGAATCAAAAGGCTACACTAACTGTTGCTGAGGAGCATGTTGTGTGAAGAGAGAAGAACTGGTCCAAAGTTCACTTTAGTGATGATAGCAAGTTTAATTTATTGGGTCCAATGGAAAACATTATGTCTGTTGTCAAACTGGGGAATGACTGAATCAATAGTGTGTAAAGAAGAAGGTGGATGAGGAAATGGCATTGTTTGGAGGATTTATTCTGCAGCAGGAGTTGAGTAAATGCAAATATGTATCAGAACATCCTGCAGCGATATGCAGTTTCTTCTCAGCATTCATTGTCCAATTAGCCAGCAATTGTATAGGTTTATAACAAAATAAAGGGTTTTTGTTGAAGTGCCTTGGTTGTTTTGTAAAACGCTGTTCTATAGTATAGCCACTAAAACTCCTTCAAATGTTTGAACGATGATGATTACATTATATTTAGCACATAAAAAAAAATATATACAATATTTGTGTGAGTGTGTGTGTGTGTGTGTCATAACATGGTATTGACTTAATACCTACATTTATTAATTATTTCCAAGCATGAGGTCTGAATACCATGTTAAACACTTACCGACTAGAGGTGGAAAGTAACTAATGGACCTTTTTCACATTTCTGGGTTTCTCAGCAGCGGAAGTCGTCATAGTTGGGTTAACTTGAATAACAGTGAATGGGAGAGTACCACAAATATATTTTTTGCATTCCCATTTGCTCAAATATCAAAAGAAAAACTCCACGATAGTGTTTTCATGACTTTCAATAAAAGGAAAAAAATTGAGAGAGACTGATAACAGCTGTCAGAAGAGAAAACGATTTCAAATTTACCATCCCTCCCATGGACCCTGCATTAAAAACCCTTGCATTAGCGTTAACTGTTTTTTTGTAATTTGATGCAAAGGTGATACAATACAAAGAATAGTGTTATAAATGTACATACATTTAAAAAAAAATGCAAATATGAAAAACTTTTTTTTACGGAGGATTTACGATGCTGATGACCGTTGAGTACATTTTAAAAATGTTTCTACTTTCTTGAGTATAATTAAATTGTGGTACTTTTATTTTTACTTGAGTAAAATAAAACATCTCGCTTACATATGTAACCTTGGATCCCTGAATAGGGAACGAGATGCTGCGATGACGTCATCGCTATGGGAACACCTCCGGTGTGACGAATGTCTGAAGCCCTTATACCATCAGGCCAATTTATTGGCCAATAGCGCTTAGCACCGCCATGAGCATACGTGATGTATGCTCATATACTATGCGTGCTGCATGCTATTTCATCAGATTTTACACTATGACGAAGGAAGTGCTATCGAAGGTACGGAACGGCCAGCATCGCAGCATCTCGTTCCCTATTCAGGGAACCAAGGTTACATACGTAACCGAGATGTTCTCTCTCATAGGTTCACTTCAATGCTGCGATGACGTCATCGCTATGGGAACGCTATACCATCATGCCTGAAGTACCTAAGATCAGTGCTCGAATTGAAGCGGGGCTGCGGGGATCTGGGACCTCCCATAAGGCATATGGGACCACCCATAATAAATAAAATATAGACTTAGGGGGTCCCCCAGATATTTTTATTTTACTAAAGATAACAATGACAAACATGATTACGTGATTCATACAGTTAGGATACAGTAAATTTCGTGAATTAATTATTTACAATCATTCATGTGACTATAGTATGTTTTTGTCATATCTCTTTAAAATATAAACAGCCCTATCTAAAGACTGCTAAGCACATGACATTACTGCTTGCTTGGCGCAACTCCACTAAAGCTAACTTTAGCGAAAAATGGTGACTAATAAACCTCTACTTGGATTCGGCTACTTGGAGCAAACGGTAAAGCTGGAATTGCGACATTTTCACTTGTAAATAGGGGAAAAATAATGAAAAATAATGAAATAAATTAAACAGGATTAAACAAATTAAACAAGATTCTTTTGAAATTAACTGACTGCTCCTTTATCACTGCTCTCTTAAGACATTATGAAATAATTATTCCTGTTCCACCCCTGAATCTGACAGTGAGACCCTCCAGTAAGTTTGGAAGCCATCTGATTTATTTATTTTTTATCTGTTTTTAAGGAAAATACTTTTTAGAAGTCTTCAAGTGCCTTACATTAAGTCAAGTCAAGTAACCTTTATTTCTATAGCGATTTTTAAAGCAGCTTCAAGCTGTAAAGCATTGTTAAAAGAAAATACTGTAATTATTTAGCTCTAATGTAACTTCTATGTTGCCCTATTCGGGTCTGCGGCTTTTGTCACAGTCAAATATACAACCACCACCCAAAAATAAATAAGTAATTAAGTAAGTAAATACCGCATAGCAGGGGAGAAAGCCTCCAACCACTTGCTGAAAGCAAAAAAATTAACTAGGCCTAGGAAGCAGTAAGGCTTAACCAGTCTCGTGGCAAATTCCATAGAAGAGGAGCTGACAGAGCCTGCAGATCCTCAGTCCTCTAAGAGAGGATAGGATTACCAAAAAACTGCTTAAGGTTTC